TCAGTCTGCAAGCTTCAATAGTGGGAGAGTAAAAGCTTAATAAGGTTACTCTTTTAAATCATGCCTGCTAAGCAATTCTACACAGGAAATACATTCTTTCCACGCACCATTTTGACAAACACATTCAAGCACAATTGTAAAAGCTTTTTTAGACTAGGCTGTGACTCTCCCCACCCCCCCACCCCATTCTCCACTGAAGAGCCAAGCCCGTTAAAAATGATTTAGATGGTAGCAATGTATTTTTGGCTGGAGGAGACAGCCCCTGCACTTATGTCAAGGAAGTCGTATCCCAGCGGACTGCACTTTCAAGGCCTAACCTGGCTGGCTAAAAGGAAACTTGCCTTCCAGATGTCATAGAAACTTCTCGGGCCAAATTTCCTAGGCCAAAAAAAGTCTTCACTTTATTGAAGACCGATCCCCTAGGTAAAAACGGCAAAAGCATACTGTTTCTCCTTTGGGCAAGTGATCAGGCAACAGCAGATAGCTCCAAATATACCTTCGGGTTGTGTTCCCTGCGATCAGAAGAACACACGGCAAGCTTCCTGATCATTCCACTGGGGGTGCAACAGACAGAGGAACATTCCTGGGACTATTAACTAACAACACTGAATCCTTGCATGTGGCTTTCTTACAATCCATGTGTTGAGAGGCATGCGGGGAAGGGAATGAGCAGATGGGGGGGAGGGATGACTGGAGATGGATATTTCTGTTTTGCGTGTTTTGGTTTAAACATTGATTGTTTTATTAGAATAAATTGAAAGAAAGCTAATTTACAGTCATGGCTCTTTCTCTCTGCTTTTCCAGCATGCAGCTTTAGGTAAAATCACAACAAACTCTTGCCTCAAACTCAGGCTTAGTCCTTCTAACTATCTAAGAATTGGAAGAGGAACCCCCACCTGTTCATCATCTGGCACAGAACCCCCTTTCCTTTGTGATCTTAATGGCCCTTCACCCAGGCGATTACCTCCTCAGGAAGCTAGCCTGGCTTGATTAGCTTTTATTACTTGCTAGCATTATAGGGGTCTGGTGCCCACGGACTCAAAGCAATATCTTCCACCGGCTTCTCAAGTGTTTGGCCTCAAAGAGCAAATTTCTCTAGTTGCTTTTGTTCTCCACCTACCTATGAGGCAGAAACAAAAAAAAGCAAAGATGAAATGCGTCTGGAATTGGCATTCGTGCCTACAAGACATATGCTTGGCTCAGCTTTTTCCACCAAGCCATTTCTGCTGCTTCTTTTGCGATTCCTTTTCAAAAACATCCTGAGTTTTCATTGCGAAAAAAGCTTCTTGGCAATCACTTGCAGCTTTTCCCAGGAAAGTTCCTCTTTTAGGGACTGGCTTGGTGGCGGGGAATCGTAGGGCCTGCCTCTTTAACGTCCTTTCTCCTGTGCCAATGGAGCAGCATAAAGACTGCACCAAGAACTCAAAGCCGTTTGTTTGTTTGTTTGTTTGTTTGTTTGTTTGTTGGTCCGTGTGGCCTTTTGATAATTCTAACCCACCTATATTCCTGGGTGACTGGACAAAAACTGTTCCCTGTAGCCTGCACACTCTTTTTCCCAGAATCATTGCTACAGTGAATAGCGTCTCAATGCCTGGTGATTGAAGGACCAGACACTCGCTCCCCTTCCAGACCTGGATAGATGTTTTAAACATTAGGCCATGCCTTAGGGATTTCACAAGCCTTTGTGCTGGTTAAAACCATTCAGCCCAGTTCTCCAGTGCTACAACGATTCCAGATAGCACTCTATTTCTTCAGATGCAACAGAGTTCCATTTATTTATTTGAAATATTTATATAACACCCTTATTATTATTATTTTAAAAAATGGATTCCATGATTTCAGAATAATAGGGGGAAAATAAAAATCTGAAATTACAGTAACATGCAGCCACTGAAGTTCTTTTAAAAAACTAGTTTCAAATGAGCAGTACCAGTTCAAATTCTGGCACTGGTATTCGGCGCTAACTGAAGATTTCAAACTGTTTACAAGGCAGCCACACATGTGACACACTTCAGTAGCCCAAGGCAGGAAGTTATTAGGATGTGGATAACTTTTGTCTATGGATAATCCCTGTCTAGGAGGGGGTCACAGGTGGCAGTGCTAGAGAACAGCAGGTTCCTTGCCTCGCCGTGACTCCCTCACGCTTCCTTTTTAAGCACATCTTCTCACATACAGAAGGCCCCACACAACCAGTGCTATTTTTCTAGAAAAAGAGGTGCCAGAACTCACCATGAATGCCTCCCTCGTTCTCTGAGAATGGCAATGGTGCCCACCTGAGAGGTTCCGGAAAGTTCTGACTGGAAAAAAGCCCTGCATACAACTAGTATGGTTAAAAAGTGGGAAATATGCCTTTCCCCGCCTATTCAAAGAATGTACTGTGGTAAAGGTAAAGGGACCCTTGACCATTAGGTCCTCTCATGACCGACTCTGGGGTTGCGGCGCTCATCTAGCTTTATTGGCCGAGGGAGCCGGCATACAGCTTCCGGGTCATGTGGCCAGCATGACTAAGCCACTTCTGGCGAACCAGAGCAGTGCACGGAAACGCCGTTTACCTTCCCGCCGGAGCGGTACCTATTTATCTACTTGCACTTCGTGTTTTCAAACTGCTAGGTTGGCAGGAGCAGGGACCGAGCAACAGGAGCTCACTCCGTCGAGGGGATTCGAACCACCGACCTTCTGATCGGCAAGTCCTAGGCTCTGTGGTTTAACCCACAGCGCCACCCATGTCCCATCAAAGAAGCCAAACGTAGGCCCAAATGAGGTTTAACACACCTTTGTGTTTTCTTTCTTAAAGTTTTGTTCCATAAATTAGAATGTGCAGTCATAGAATCATAGAATCATAGAGTTGGAAGAGACCACAAGGGCCACTGAGTCCAACCCGCTGCCAAGCAGGAAACACCATCAGAGCACTCCTGACATATGGTTGTCAAGCCTCTGCTTAAAGACCTCCAAAGAAGGAGACTCCACCACACTCCTTGGCAGCAAATTCCACTGTCAAACAGCTCTTACTGTCAGGAAGTTCTTCCTAATGTTTAGGTGGAATCTTCTTTCTTGTAGTTTGGATCCATTGCTCCGTGTCCGCTTCTCTGGAGAAGCAGAAAACAACCTTTCTCCCTCCTCTATGTGACATCCTTTTATATATTTGAACATGGCTATCATATCACCCCTTAACCTCAACCCTTAGTCCTTCAACCCTTTTCTGTACTTCAGGGCACTGTTAACTGATTTGCGAAAGAAAGAAAGAAAGAAAGAAAGAAAGAAAGAAAGACCCCAGTGGATCACTTATGCATTGTTCAATTTTTCGTGAGAATGAAGGTCAGTCTAAGGTTATGTGTAGTAGTGGAAAAATATCTGGCTGGCACATTCCATGGAATGTATTTGCAATGTCTTTGAAAATTTCTTGAAACCTAAAGCCTAAGGATTTTATAGAAATTAAGGAGCTAGTGCCAGCATCTGGAACTGAAGACAGCTCAGTGGAAATATCTCCATTCTCAAAAACTTGTGAAAGTTTTGTTGTTGATTTGGATTCTGTGGCAATATACTGACATCTAGTGGACAAGGAAAAGGAAAGAAGAAAGCAATTAAGTCTTGGTGTTTTGTGCTCTCCCTTCCAAGAAATATGAAATGTGTCCAGAACTTGTACGCATTTATTTTCCTTTTGGAAGAGTTTGAGCACTGGAAACTGTGGGTGCCTTAATGCTAACATGTATATTCACATTTATACAGAAAAGGCAGACATTCTAATGATGCAGAGTCAGCAAAAGGCAATGTCAAATTCACAACATCAGCACTCCGCAAAACCTCCCAGCTTCTCTCCAGAAATCTCTTAGCAATTCATTCTAGCTACCTGCCAAAGAGCTTCCTGCAAATTTATGCTTTGTACAGAGCAAGAGAGAGAGCAAGAGCAAATCAGCATTCTAGCTTCTCACTTCATGTAGCTATGAAGAAACCAAGCAAATGGATGCAATGATCTGCCAAAATGACCAAGGGGTGGAACAACTCCCCCTGTTTAGGTACGGTTGCAACATTTGGGACCTTTTAGTTTAGAAAAACAGTAAGCGGGGACATAACAGAGGCATATAAAATTGGGCATGGCGTAGAGAAAGTGGATAAACAGAGGTGTTCCTCCCTCTATCAAAGTGCTAGAACTTGAGATCATCCAATGAAGATGCAAGTTAGAAGCAGTGCTATTTTTCTAGAAAAATAGGTGCTGGAACTCACCATGAACACCCCCCTTGTTCTCTTAGAATGGCAATGACGCCCACCTGAGAGATGCGGGAACTGAGTTCTGGTGAGTTTCAGCTGGGGAAAAATAAGATAGTACTTTTATACATTGTTAAAATATTAAATTTGTTACCTTGGATGACCATTATCTTGAAAGGGGGATTAGACAAATTCATGGAGAATAAGCCTTTCAATGGCTTCTAGTCATGGTGGCTAGGTGCTGTCTCTGAATTCCCTAAGTTGGGAGAGCACTGTTGTACTCAGGTCCTGCTTCCCAGCTTCCCACAGGCATCTGGCTGGCGAGAACACGATGCTGGACTAGATGGGCCTTTGATCTCATCCAGCAAAGCTGTTCTTATGACTTTATATCAACAAACCTCATCTTCTCTGTTCTGTGCCAGAAGTAACTATTAAAGTGAAAAATGGACACCTGAATGACAAAGGACTGAAGTCTGGGGTCACACTGTCCAGAATCCAGTGCAAGCCTACCCGTTACAAAACTAGGAGGTTTCTTAATTCAACATGCCTTCTTTTTACATTCAGTGTATTGGTATTCCATCCCGGGGTACAAATGCTACAAGTGGTGCTTACAGCAGTATGGAACAGGAACAGGGTTTCTATCATCCTGTTACAACTGTACGCTTTGTCAACCAGGAACAGAAGGGTTTCAGCATCCTTATCTGGCACATCTTCTCCAAAGAGGTCTTCACGCAGCCACTAGAGTCACGTTTTTTATAGGGGCGTTTCTCTTTCAGGAAAATGTAAGCCCGTCCAAGATAAAGAAGCACTCTAATGGCCCTGGAGAGCAGAAGGGAGGATTCTAGCAGCTGTGGCTTATCATGCAAGTTACACCCATGGATATCTCTTCTTCTGCACAACTATTAGAGGTGTGGGAGCTCAGTCCTCTTTTGCATTAGAAGGGCATCCCTGTCTAGGACACGTCAGCTGGTGTGATGCCCCACAGAGCTACAAAGGGAAAGGGAAAGGTGAGTTGAGCAGGAAGAAAGCTGAACCAAAGGCTCGTCTAGAAAATGTCAGCCCATCACAAGCAACAGGACACTAACATCCTATTATGCAACCCTTGAGCTTGAGATGTATATTTTTAGGACCTACCTAACTTTAATATTTTGTGATACTGTGTTTTAGTATTGGTGTTGTGCTTTAATTGTTGTAACCCACCATGGGACCTTAGGGTGAAAGGCAGATAATAAATTGTAACAACAACAACAACAACGAGGTTGTTCCTGGTGCAATAGCTCCCTTTTATAGGCATTCCCAGATGAACATTAAAAAGTCTAGCAGGGTTCCAAGCTGCAATGTTTGTTTCATTTTGCTAGTGCTAGCTTGGATTTGACTTGTTTAATGCTTCGTGCAGATCTCTTCCAAAACATTTCTTCCTGTGGCTGCTGCTATAAATTATGCCGATAAAGGGTCCTTGCCCATCCCTACCCATAAGTGGAAAGATATTTGCAAGGATGAGCATTTCATGCATTTAGTAGAGTCTGAAAATAGACCTAGAGCTTTCAGATCTTCTCAACATTGCTTGAAACTGCTCATATAATGGCCTTTACTCCTTAGGCCCAACCACCTCTTGCTCCCTTCATTGAATCTGTCAAGATACAAATGTAGTGCTGACAACTCTCTCTCTCTTTCTTTCTTTCTTTCTTTCTTTCTTTCCTTCCTTCTCCAAAATGCAGCCCTTCTGTGTTGTCCTTGGCTCATCCCTTTAGAGCCAAACTAAATGTAATAGGGAAGATTCAGCATCAGTTCTCCTCACATCTTTTTTCAAGCAACCATGGAAGGAAGCAAATTGGATCAGGCAAATTGGATTGGAGAACTAGTGTGGTGTGGTGGTTAGAGTGTTGCACTATGACCCAGGAGATCAAGGTTCAAATCTCCACTCAGCCATGAAGCTCGCTGGGTGACCTTGGGCCAGTCGCTCTCAGCCTAACCGACCTGTACCTCAGAGTGTTGCTGTGAAGATACCATGGGGAGGAGGGGCACATGAACTCCTTGGAAGAAAAAAGTGGTATAGAAACATAATAAATAAACAATGATCCCAGAACAGAAACTCCTAGAAGTTGCTTCGACTAATGTCATTTTGGCTAATGGAGGGAACCACTGTGATGAGAGTGGTCTTTGTGGGATCCGTTCCAAAGCGTGGGGATAAATGGAAACAAGTCTGGGATGGGGATCAGAAACATACAGCAGGTGATGAGAGGTGCTGTGTGAGGTATCTGTGGAGGGACAATTTGGTTGTGGTTTGTTCTTCAGGCAAAGCAAAAAAGGTTGACACAGAAATATATGGTCTTCCCAGTTAAGGTTCAACATAGACACAAGCAATCTATAGTACTCAGTACTATGGGGCCAGAGCAGATTATCCTATGTGGCCCATGGTTTCATTATGGATACTAGAGAGCTCTGTAGCAAAAATGAGAGACATATGGCACTCCAGATGTTGCTGGACTACAACTCCCATCCTCCCTTGACTACTGAGGATGAGGCTGGGGCTAAGGGAGGTGGAGGTGGAGTCCAGCAATATCTGGATGGCTACAGGTTCCCCATCCCTGCTCAGCAGCAATTGCCTTTAGGACTGTTTCATTATTACCATCAGCCTGGTTGACTGCACTCTTGAACTTGCACTAGAGTCACTACACCTCAGTACTGGAGGAGAAAGCAAAAACACATTGGAAAACATCCGTTTAACAGGATAACTGACTAATAGTTTGATCTTTTGTACCAGAAATTCAGTTCTGGGTCAGAAAAACATTGCAATGTCTGGATGCACCCATTAGTAATTCTTTGGCTGCCTTTGGCGCTGGGCTTTTAAAATTGCAGTTGTTTACTTCCCCCGTTATCTTCCGCACTTGCATTCTTCCATATCTTTATTGGTCAGTCAAAGGTTGTCACAATGCCTTTAGACAAATAAAATTTCAGTTTCCGAGGTCAAATTTCTACAAAGCTGACATTATAGTCAATATAGAAACTTGTTGGTCACAGCAAATGGCACCCCGTAACATTCCTCAGTGACTATCCATCTCAGTTTTGGAGCTCTTGCGGAATTATTTGTATTTATTCTCTTGGTGGTTCAAAGGAAAAATATCTCAGTTTCATCAGGTCATTCATTACTCAGCAGTTCAGGGAAATATTTCCCCTTGGCAGTTCATAGATGGGATTATAAACACAAAACTTTTCAATTATTTTTATTATTCCATATAATTCATGGTGCTATTTGAAATTCAGATTGCCAGTATTTCAACTAGCTCTGCTGCTTGGAACACAGGAAGCGGCCTTATAATGAATGAGACCATTGGTCTGCCTGGCTTAATAGTGTCTATACTGAACAGCAGCTGCTCTCCAGCACTGCAGGCAAGCGGCATTCCCAGTCCTACCTGGACTTGCCAGGGATCGAACCTGGGAGTGCCTACATGCAGATTAGATGCTCTGCTACTGAGCTATGGCTCTTCTCTCCAGGCCAGCACTAAGAAGTGCCAGGCATAGTGGCACTGACTGATGGGGGCTCCCTTCACCACATACCCTGTCTGGGCTGCCATCACTATAACCAAGCATTCTCACCAGAACCAGCAGCATTTCTGAGATTGCAAACATGAAATACCCCTTCACCTAGATAGGGCCATTGCCAGTAGATGGGAGTCAAGTGTCACTAGGCAGCAGGCATGTTATATCTCCCAGAATGCAGTGCCAGATGTATAGATGTCAGGCACCAGACACTGTGCCATAAGAAAGGAGTAGGGGAATGACTGATGGCTGAAGAAGCACCAGCATCAGTGCCAGGATCAGGCAGGGTACAAATCATGATGGCAACAATGCCCAAAGAACCCAAACTGGGTAGGCATCAACACAAGGGAGTCCCAGCAGTTTCCCGGGTATGATGGATGCTGACCCTGGGCTTGTGTGTACTATGAATTTTGGCCAAACTACAGGTTACATATTTCAAATTTTATTTTAAAGTGGCTGCTTCTAGTTTTTGTTTGTTTGTTTGTTTGTTTGTTTGTTTGTTTGTTTGTTTTTTAAAGGCAGCTGTGGGACCCCAATCCAGACCAGAGGCCCACACCAGTTCACTGCTGCTACTTGCAGAAAATAACATCTGTGAGAACAAATAATACCCAGAAGGATATTTTCAGCAGGAAACTGGTGAGGGGCCTTGATCCAGTTTTAAGCATGCTTTCTTTACAAGTGTGACTAAAATAACATGTAGTTTGCCCCTTTAAGTATAATTTGACAGAAGCAGGTAGCAAGTGATAGCACCTCCCTATGGTGAAAAGCTTCACCTCCTAATTTCTCCATGTAGAATTACTCTTGAAAGAATAACTGCAAATGCTGATGGAAAAACTCACAATTCAGCTTCACTGGGGATTAAATGCTGGCTCTTCACTTTTCTCCTATGATCAGAAGGCCTGGCTCTCCCATATTCCCTTCCCACTCAAGATGCTGCTTTTGAAAAGGACACTCCAAACTATTCCTTTCTACTCATTGCAACATCCAATTTAAAAAGTGTTCAAGATGTCCAGTCTGGCAGCCATAAGACCTCTCATATCCATTTACTGCCCCCATGCCACTTCAATCATTCTTTTAATCCCTCTTTTACAAAAAGTGAACCAAACATTCCCATCTCCCCTTCCTTCTTCCTACACAGCTGCACAGTTCCTTCCCAAGCATTTTCTTTCCCCTTTGAGCAATGATTTAATATATCCATTCATAATTAAAGGCATCTTTTTCTCTTTGCTCTGCCCTATGAAAGCTACAGATTCCCATCACTGGGTGTGATTTAATACATCTGCTCAACAAAGCACTGGTCCCAGCTGCAACTTCCCTATTCAGGCAATTGGAAACAAAATCCAGCGATTCACTCCATCGCTTTAATGCCAGACCACAACCAAACTCCCAAGAATGATGTCAGCAAGGTCTTGCTACTCCAGCTTACAGCTAATGGCCGCATGTAGGCGACTCCATATATTTGAAATTCAAGTGTCTCAGGTTCCCTAGCACAAGGGTAGGTATAGTTTAGTTCTAATGATCACAGCTGAGCAAAGAGGTTTGAACCTCTCCCTGGAGCCCAGTGTCACTATAGGGAGGAATCTTGCACCCTATCCACTCTTCAGATCCATCATCTGAAGACAGGAGAGGACATAATTTGCCTCCTCATCACAGCATTGGGCTGACTGAAGAAGTTTAAACTTACCGGTATTTGCCCAACCTGGCGTCATGATGGGGAGGAAAATGCCCTCCTTCTTCTCTGCTGATCTGTAAGAGTGGCATTACCACAGAGGTAATGCCACTCTTGGGCCAAAAAAGGGCTTCTCACTAGCCCAGATGATAATGAGAACTAAGCAGACACAAAATACTCTCTGTCAGGCTATTACTGTAAAACGAGGCCCATAGGTTATTAGTGTAACTTGTAGCCTGACCCTCTGTATAGTGGAAATCAGTCCCAAGTCAGTTCACATGGGATTGGCGTGTTATTTTAATTGAGTAATTAACTAAAAGTTTGCATTCGGACAGTGTTTGCGTGGCATGTGTTTATGCACAAGAGATTTTCCCCCCTAACATTTTTCTTCAAAAAGTCCCCAAAATACCAGTTGTTATTGCTGCTTAAAGCTGCCTGCATTTGCCAACTGACAAATCCAGTGTTGTGAAGGGGGTGGGAGAGGATGTCCTTTCCTTGCTATACCTCCCACCTTTTCTCTTGCATAAACATCTTGTGTGCCTGAAACTGATCATTCCAAACTGGAAAAGTCCTCTGGGCCTCCAGGCCACCCGCGGCCTTAGGCATTGGATTAGCACTTGAATTGTCAGCTAAGGAATGTCACTGAGGCCTACAGAGTGGGAAGACTGATGCATTGAAAGTCATTTTGTCTGCAATGCTTGGCTGTAGCACCTACAAAAGCAGAACTTCCTAATTATTCCTGCAGATACTTTTGCTGCAGCCAACAGCCTGATTAGAAACCGACAGAGAAGACGGGCGGTTGCGCAGGTTGGGTTAAGATGCTCTCTTGGCTCCATTTTATTTTCTATTGCAGTGGAAGCTTGGCGTTCTTTTTGTTTTGTTTCGTTTTAGGTCTGCTGTCCAAAGGCGTTTTTGATCCAAGAGCGAACTGCGTTATAGTGTTGTCTTCAAAGATTTACAGACCAGGAGCCTAAAATGGTTGTCGCAACAGACCATGTAAAACAGATTAGCTACTTGTCAAAACAGCTTTCAATTAGCCTTTTAACACACATGATTAAAGTGGTTTGAGGTAAAATAAAAAAGAAAGAACAGGTGCTTCCTGTTACTCCTCTAAAGATGCTGCAATCCTAAACATGCTTGCTAGGAAATATATCCCACTGAACTCAACCAGAATGTCAATGAGCAGTAAGGATCAGTAGCAAGGAAGCATACTTAAAATAATGCAACTTTTGTTTTTTGCGACATCTTAACTTTTTGGGAACCGATTGGCGATAATCTATTGGCTGCTTCAAATGCATGCTTAGCTGCTACCATTGTAACGACAGACAACAAAGAGCTAGTCTGGATTTATATTTGCACCAGGCAAGTATCCAGGTGCCAGAATGTCAAACTTGGGTGCACACACAGATATCATGTACTTGGCATACATTGTAGATGGGCAGGATTTAAGAGTTAGCGGTTAGAATGTTAGACTAAGCTAAGGCAATGAGTCTCTAAATCCCTGCTCAACTATGAAGCTCACCAGGAGACCTTGGACCAGCAATATCACTCCCCTTAAATCTTTCCACACAGGAAACCTTTAGTTACTTGAAAGAAGAGTGGGATGAAAAGGTCAGGAAACAAAACATATAAATGATGTGTAGGTATAAGATTTATATAGCAAGTTCTGATAGTACAAGCCAATGCATCCTTACAGTGGTGCCCCGCAAGACGAATGCCTCGCAAGACGGAAAAACCGCTAGACGAAAGGGTTTTCCGTTTTGAAGTTGCTTCGCAGGACGAATTCCCCTATGGGCTTGCTTCGCAAGACGAAAATACCTTGCGAGTCTTGAGATTTTTTTCGCTTTCCCCCTTTATCTAATCTGCTAAGCCTTTAATAGCCTTTAATAGCCTTTTAGCAGCTAATCCCCTAAGCCTTTAAGCCTTTAATAGCCGCTAAACAGCTGATAGCGCTAATAGCGCTAATCCGTCAATGGGCTTGCTTCGCAAGACGAAAAAACCGCTAGACGAAGACTCTTGCGGAACGGATTAATTTCGTCTTGCGAGGCACCACTGTATTTAGAAATAAGACTCCGACTGTACCTCTTGGCTATAACTGCTAATATTCAATTTCAAAGGTACTATATTACTGGAGGGTAGCAGCAGTGAGTGGCTAGATTTTGCTCTAGTTGTGACCTTCACAAGGTAGGGGGCATCTTGGAGGAAGAGCATTGGATTAAATAATCCCTTGATGTGATCCAGCATAGGCTGTTTTGTGACTAAAAATACTTTAAAAGGACTTAGAAGCAGCAACCAGTGCATAATGTAGCAGATTGACATATGACATATGATAGGAAGAACTCATATTACAGCATTTCTGAGAGAATTGCACTTTTTGATTCTGCGCTCAGTTCAAGGTCTTGTCTTGGACATATAAAGCCATTAGTGACTTGAGTCCCGTGTACCTGAAAAATTGCACCACCACCCCACATTTGTAAACCAGCCTTGGAATTAGATTTGATTTTGTTGGTGATTCTGCTACCCTCGGAGGTCTCTGATACAGCAGCATGTGATGAGAGTGCCTTCTCAGTGGTGGCTCTGAGACTATGGAATTTCCTGCCACTGGATGTGCACCCAGCTTCAACTTTGGGTTATTCAGAAGACATGCAAAGGTGGCCATTTTTGCCCTTTTGGAAACATTTAATTACTCTTCACCTTTTGATAATTATTTGACTTATTTTTTTAGCGATTCATTATTCATCTGTTGTGCTTTACTGTTTTATTATGATGTAATGCACCCTGGGACTTTTGTTGAAGGGTGGGTAACAAATGTATCTAATAAAATTATATATATATATATACACATAAGAATAATGAAGAATAAGTTTTGGTTCATTCTTAATGTGTGCTTGAGAACATACAGACGTGTTATTTCACTCTGAGTGCAATCATTTTAATATCTTCATATTCATGAACTTATTAAATAGAGAAGGCAAAATATGTTATCCCACAGAGTCATCCCAAAGTAAATTTCATGGCTTTCGTCCACATTAGTGATGCTGGAAATATTACAGGGGGAAATCTGAAATTGCCAGCAGTTGGAACAGCTCACTCACTTGAGAGTAATTGTCCATCTTTTATTTCTAGATTCTTACCAAGTCAGGGCAGCACAACCACTCAGAGAGGTCACAGAGCCATTCTCTAACTTAACGCTCTGCAATCCTAGAGCTGGGGGAACGTCAACTATTGAATTATCTCCTGGGATGCCATTGTTAGGGATCCAGCCCATGACACGCAACAAGTACACAACAATGCTCCTTTGGGGAAGGCTGTAGCTTAGTGGTGCAGCTTCTACCTTGCATGCAGAAAATTCCAGCATCTCCAAGCAGGGCGGAAAATGTGCTTGAAACCCTGGAGAGACACCACCAATCAGTGCTGACTATACTGTGCTAAATGAACCAATGGCTTGACTTGATATAAAGCAGCTGCCTATATTCCTCACATAAATGAAAGCATTTTATAAAAATGCATTTTATCTACTATATCCCAATCAGTGAGTGTAAACAAAAACGTTGGTGCACATTAACTGGAGCCGTCACGAAAACCCTTAAGCTATTGCGGCTTCTCACATTTTCAGGCAGAATCCCGAATTCCCAAGGGGGCCTTCACTTCAGTATAGCATCTCAACATGGAAGTTCAGGTCCGTGCGTCCCTCTAAAACATGTCTTAGATCCATAGCTGTCAACGTTTCCCTTTTTTAAAGGGAAATTCCCTTATTCCGAATAGGATTCCTCGCAAGAAAAGGGAAAAGTTGACAGCTGTGCTTAGATCTATGCCTCCCGCTCGCTTCCCGCCACTCAATAGGACGCTCCTTCCTGTTTTTATGAAAACAAGGTCCAAGTCACTTGAATGCCCCTAGGAAAGTTTTTTGCTGTTTTCTTGCACCTCAGGAAAACACCTCATGGTTGGTCTCTCATAAAGTAAGAGGTGAATAGAGGAGCGAAGGGGGTGGGTCCTGCCTGCAAGGCCGCTGCCATGGCTGAACCTTTCCCTATTTTCATCTGAGGAATGTTGGAGGCTATGCCCGTTATTATAGGCCAGAAACAGTAAATTAATATGGTGAGGTCCATTTGCAAACATTGCAGCTGGATCAATGTGGAACTTGAGGTACTGGATGAGTGTCAACCAAAGGAAAGGGGGAAATAAGCAGAAATTGTGCACTGAAAATCCAAAACAAAGAAGAAATGCTTTTTTTATTATTTTCCACTGAATTAAACACAGCTGCATAGCCAAAACAGCACAAACAGGATCTTATTTGTGGATGAATTTTGAGGCCCAAAAATGTCTTTAAAAAACTATTTGTTCTTTATTTTGCTCAGGGCAAATCATCACAGTGTGGTTTTTCTGTTTTATACAACTGTTTGGCATCTTTCTGTATATTATGAAATCTTGTACCGCAATATAAATTATTTTTATGATGTATTTTTAATATAATGCTATTAGTGTTCAGGGCACTTTAGAGAGCATAAGAGGACAGGTTCCTATGCAGAAGGCTTTGGAAAAACCTCCTCCTGGAGAAATTCTTCCAAATTTTCAGAACTGACGTTTTTGAACTGCTCTTTGACTTGCACAGTCTCCCTGTATTTAAAACCTGCCTGGTCAATGAAGTTCTGCAAATGAAAACTTTCTCCATCACTGCACCTACGTTAAGGCAGAGCCAAATGTTCTCCTCACATACTGGAAGTAGTCTTCTCAGAAGGCACAGGAGCCCTGACAGAAAGAAAAACATGGCAACACTATCCACAAGTGACACCTTGAGTCTAAGTATGTTTAAAGAAGGGGGATTCAGGTTTTAACTATTGTCTGGTGCAATTTGCAATGCATAGATCAGGAAATGGTACTTACAAGAACCCCATTTTCTACAGAAATAGGTTCCTGGACACTGCCATGCATAATTTGTGTGGCAGGTGCTCACATGTAGAAGAAAGAGTGGGGACCACACTGCTGGCCCTTCTCCTGACATCAAGCAACCAAGCTAACCACACCACCATAAGTCCATAGGAGCCAACTCCTAGGGGCCATGGGGTCTTTGTCGTTACCCCCAGTAAAATATTTGAGGCGGCCAGGGGCCCTAAATGTTGATGGGCATTGTTAAGTTGTGGGTGAACATATCAGACGACACAGCGATTCTTCAAACAGCTCTTGTTTATTCACAGGCCAGGAGAGAACTGAACTGAAGGGTTCAGTCAGCCTGTTTATATAGAGCTCCAGTACAACATTACTGTAACACCTTTCTAAAACTATCCAATCACTGAACGTCACTTTCAATCCCTTATTTGCATAACTATCTACAGTATCCCCCTGCTGGCCCAGGGGTGAGAACTTCAGTACATAACAGGCATGGCCACTCAAATGGTGTGAGTGCACAGCATCATGCGATTGATTATGCAGGGTGGGGCTTACGTGGGCTCCCCAATATTTTATTCAAGCTGGCAGCCCCTGCTGATGTCCTCATGTTGAGTGCAAACATCCGAAGAGGAACTTCTGCAAGTGAGTTCATGGAGCGGTTGCTAATCTGTAGCTGCTCCAAAGGAACAGGACGACACCCATGCAGTTGTGATCCAGAGGCCTTCTGGTGTATATTTGGGGGAGGCTAGCTCCTCCACATGATGCTGGAGGCGAGGCCAGTGGTGTGGTCTTGCTTGTGGTTCTACACATGGGCACACTTCACACAAGTAGCACATGCAGAGGGTTCTGTTCTCCGTTACATCTTGTCATCCTAGAAGTGAGTTTGGTGAAAATTACTGACTGCAACCTGAGCCCATTCCAGAGAACTTAAATATAAAAACAGTGAGTTGGGTGGGCTGTAGCCACTCTCAAGAAATGTCTTATGGTCTCAATTTGTGGCTTATATTTCTTAATAATCATGTTTATGTAAAACATATTTTTAAAATACAAAGCACTGTTTTAACTGGGAAAAGAGTTCACTTGGTTTATTTTTAGCCTCACATTGCAAAAGGGCTCTTGCGTTGACTGAGAAAACCCAATGGACTGGTGACCACAAAGAACAATGACAAATAAAGCAATTCATCTGCAGGCACCCCCAGTTGCTTGTTGTGAATTCCCATTGTTTGCAAATATTCTTGTTTTGGAAAAGAGAAAGTGCATTTATAGAGACCCCTGAGCCCAAGATACTCTAATGCATCAAGTTGTTTACATTACTCATGTTTCAAAAGGAAGCCTTGGTATGTTCCCTGCCTGTAGGTCAATTCAGGCAGTGGTCACAGGATGCCTCCTTCAAAGTTTTACTATGCAGCACTTGTAACAATTCTGCATAATGTTGCACGCAATAGAATCATAGAACTGTACAGTTGAAAGGAACCACAAGGGTCATCAAGTCCAACCCCCTGCAATACAGGAATCTTTTGCCCAATGTGGGACTTGAACCCACGACCCCGAGATTGAGCTATAGGGTCGCGGGTGGCACTGTGGTCTAAACCACTGAGCCTCTTGGGCTTGCCAATCAGAAGGTTGGCGGTTCAAATCCCCGCGACGGCGTGAGGTCCTGTTGCTCTGTCCCAGCTCCTGCCAACCTAGCAGTTCGAAAGCACACCAAAAGTGCAAGTAGATAAATAGATACCACTCCAGTGGGAAGGTAAACAGCATTTCTGTGCGCTACTCTGGTTTTGGTGTTCCGTTCTACCAGAAACGGCTTAGTCATGCTGGCCACATGACCCAGAAAAACTGTCTGCGGACAAACGCCTGCTCCTTTGGCCTGTAAAGTGAGATGAGTGCCACAACCCCAGAGTTGTCTGCGACTGGACTTAACCATCAAGGGTCCTTTACCTTTTTATGCTCTCTGTATGATCACAGCTGGTACAATAAGACTGTACCAGCTTTTTGTACTGACCAGTACAGTGTAGTGGTTAGAGTGTCAGACTAGGACAGAGTTCAAATCTCTGCAAACAGACCACAATACCAATTATATCATTCCAAGAATCTGCAAGATTATTGCTCAACCATAACTGTGCTCTCTATGTCTGATGTGGAGTGCTGATTCACCATTCAGCATAACAACCATGAATGTGCAGTTCCTCGTATTCAAACTGTGAGTATGCCTGATTGCAAAAAGTTCAAGAAGTGCATTCGCCCGCGTGCTACAAAAGAAAGAAAGATTGATAAAAAGCTCTTCTGGAAAGTAGGGGGACCAAAAAAGCCATTGCAACTTCCATCAGATGCCTTCAAACTGAAAACATGATTGGTTGAAAGAGTCCAGGAAATTCATTTACTAAAGCATTCCCAAGTAAGCAAGTGTGGAACATCTGAATCAAATTCCATTATGCTTTCCAAATGTCTGCCTCATAAGCGAGAAATATCGAGGTTTCAAGACCCCCCTCTTTCATGGAAATGACTATTTCCCCTAATTTAACAACATTTAGCCATATTTTCGGAATGAAATCATTCTCATTAAAAACATTCTATGGTGACCCAAACAAAGCAATGTCACATGTTCACAACGAATCATTCCAGGTCTATGTATGGAATAAAGTCTGTAATACTTAATAAAATTATACATTGTATGACTGTCAAAGCAGGTAATGCGGGAAATCGGTGACCAGATCTGCAATCAGTGAAGCCCTAGTTCAGGGGTCTTGGGTTCAGTAGATCCCAAGTTGCTAGGCTCAGGCTCAGTGGTGTCAGGGTCCAGATCCAGCACTTCTACAAGTCATGCTGTTGTGTTTTCCCTGTTGCCCTCCTTCTAAAATACCAACAATGAAACAAGCAGGTCCACAGTAATATACAACTGGTCAAAAAGTGCAAAATTAAAACAGTTAAAAACAAGCTCATTGGTACAAAATAATCAACACCAATGTTAAACCACTGAAAAACCAATGAATTACATTAATAAATGGGAAAATGCAGTTAAAAAGTTCATTTTGATAAGGCAAATGATACTTGGTAGCATAATGGTATCTGTGACCACCAGTTTTCAGAACCTTTTGCTCTACATATGTTCTCACAGAATAAAAAAGAGCGACTTTATCCCTGCCACATCTTCACCCAACCCACCGCTGAACATGGCCATTCAATGTTCACAAGCCTGTTTTCTCCAAAAATGTGTAGCAATAAAATATTATGAATTCATCTAATGGTCTGAACCCCTAGAACATATTTTTAAAATTTATGTGCTTGGGAAGAAGTGTAGATACAACCTCTGATGCTTTCTCCCACATGGAAAAATGTATTTAGAGGCTAAAAATTACATCAGAACTGGGCCTTTTTGGAGGTATATAACACAGCTGGCGGGAGAGCATTACTGTTGCCACGCAGGTGCTAAGAAGAAGCAGCAGCAAAACCCTGAGAACTGACCACCACAAGCTGCAAAGCAAACTATCGGTCCCCCAGTGGGCTTCTGTAATTCCTGTATTCCCAGGTTTGAGGGTGGAAAAATAGACGCTCTAATTAAGTCCAGCTTTGCTTCAAATGCCGCAGTGTAATTAAGCCAGGAATCCTCTCTCCTTTGCCCCAAATAGCTGTCTTCTGGCTCCTGTCTGTTTCTGAATGGCAGGCCAGGGCCAAATCTAAAAGTGAGCCCATTATATTTCTGAACAGCACACACAGCATTTGTTGAAAAACGAAAAGCAAGCCAACAATTGTGTTAGGTTGTTTTTAGTTTAGTTTAATTTGTGTCTCTTCCACTTGCTGCTCTCCCGGCAGAAGGTGGAGTAGCCAGACAAGGAGCGGAGTGGAAAGAAATGGCTTGTATATATATATATATTTTTAAATCATAATATTTAAAGACACTGCAGATGCAGAGGCAACTCGTTACCAGCTGATTTGATTAAAACTCATTATTTTTCGTATTGAGGCCAAATAGGACAATGAAACAATCTCTGTGCCACATTCCTTTGCAAACTTATTTCCATAATCACAGTTCAGTTACATTGACAAGCAATAAAACGGAGGAAAACTATAATTTTGAAATATTTAAGCGGCAAGACAACACCAAACACTCGCCATTCCGCAAACAGCTTAAAAACAGCTTCTAATCAAAAACAGATTAATAACTGATTAAAACATAATGTTTAAGGCAGATTCTAGCATGCTTAAAGAGTCTCAACTTGCAAGGTTCTTTTCTAGGCAGAGCAGATGAAGGCTGGGTTCACACATGCCTATGCTCAGTACCCAATGACTGCACCATCACATTAAGACTTGTGTTTTCTGAAGCACCTTTCTGGGTTTCTGTGGAGTCAGATTGCACATTTGGCCACAAACCAACAAGAGATGAGTAACTGTGATAATGAGGCATCATGAGTGAATCAGAAGCTGTTGTCTATTTTAGCTTCTTTTCCCTTGATGCTCTCTCTGTGGCATACTGTGAGTTTTCTGAACCTATACAGTGGTACCTCTGGTTACATATGCTTCAGGTTACATACGCGTCAGGTTACAGACTCTGCTAACCCAGAAATAGTGCTTCAGGTTAAGAACTTTGCTTCAGGATGAGAACAGAAATTGTGTTCCGGTAGCGCGGCAGCAGCAGGAGGCCCCATTAGCTAAAATGGTGCTTCAGGTTAAGAACAGTTTCAGGTCAAGAACGGACCTCCGGAACGAATTAAGTACTTAACCCAGGGTACCACTGTACATTTCTTCCTCTCATAACAGGTAGGGTTTTTTCAGGGGTTTTGGAGTTTGTTTTGTTAGCTTCTTGCAATATAGGCTAGTGTAGGCCAACTAGTACAGACATTTTTTTAAGGGCCTGATCTACTGAGCCTCAAAAACTTTCAAACTTGTGTCTGATAAGCAAACCCTTAGGATTTCCCTTGGAGCTCTTGGGGATTGCAGAAGACAGTGGGGCATGTTCAACAGTGCAGAGTCACTGCTCCCATAATGGAAAATCTTGTCTGCTGTTACCGAAGAGTCCGTGATAAACTTCCAAGGAACCCTGGAGTTTTAGGCCAGGATAATAGATTATGTCCTCTGTACCAACTAAACATAAAATTCTCCCCACTTAGCATAATGTCACAGGCAACCATTTACTGCCACATGCACCCTGTGGTAAACTACCATAATGTCAGTTGTCATATGTGCCATCCTAAAACTGCTATATGAATTACTGGCAGGAATGTTGCTGCCGGTGCTTTGAGCTGCATATTGTAAACTTTTCTGAAAGGCATACATTTATATTTTAGCTTTTGTTTATACGAGTGTTTCTAAACGGCCAACTCATTAAAAATTTCATGGTAGTGTAAAATAAAATCATTAGAACATCATAAATCTACAAAATCAGACAATAAGCTATATCATGAAATTAAGAAAAAACATTGATAGGCTTTTTGAGATGGGAAAGATGTCAGCTATTAATATTACTATGTTTCCCCAAGTACTATTTTTTTTTCAAAATATACCGTTAAGAATTAAACATGAAATTATAACTAAGCGGCAAAGGTTAGCGTTAGTTTTCCTATGGGAAGAAAGGCAGGATTGCTGCTAAGATATTATACAAACCACTTGAAAGAGACATTGCTTTCCCATGCTTTAATTGGTACTACCACACAACCAGGTTATCTCATTTAAAATCATGGTTCCATATCAGATAAAGACAGAACAGATGGAATTGACAATGGAGTTTTTAAAAATGCATTGTGGCATTGGACCAAAGGGACCCGAGAGCTATTCAAAGCAAAAGTCTTTTTGAAGTCTGGCATAGATGCAGATGTAAGCTGAGCTCAAGTCTCTCACCAGTTCCTATAATTTGTTATAATGAAAAATTGAAAGAGAAAAGATGGCTGGCAAATACCAAGAATATGAGAAGTTTGTGGGGTAATAGAATGTGTAAGATTAATGGGCAGTGACCTAAAAAAACCACCTATAATGAAATTATGAGGAAGATGGGCAACTAGAGTGTTGCAGTTCCTCAGCACCTGCAAGTTATAATTCTAACATTTACAGTTAGATACATCTTGTTAAGAGAATGTACCAGATTTGAAAGTTGATGTCTAAAAATCCAGTCAACCATAGTTAAGATCTAAAGAATATTGGCATATCTGGAATCCTCCAATAATTTAGATCAAATGGGAAACTGATTTTAGAAAAGTAATCTCGCATAATCCATGGGCTGGATTGTGGGTGTATATCTTGCAATCAACTCTTTATTATAAGAATAAAGAAGACTGATCTTTTGATGGTATTTTGAGTCTGCAAAGGCTGAGTCAAATAGTTCTCACCTGGTAAAGAGATGCTGGAGGTATACTGTACCTCCATTAGAGATAACATATAACACATATTGATCATGCTCCGAAATTAAGCAATTTTGGGTCTCAGCTGCAAATAAAACATTTTAAATGTGTTGTAAAGTGCAATATACAAATGTGACACTGGATGGCAAAATTCAACGTATTTTTCAAAATGTTTCTTAAAGAAGCATTTTCACAGTTTTTTATATGTGTAGATTCCACCTAGGTCTGCTGGTGGGGTCTTATTGGGGTTTATGTAGGGCAAGATTTTACCTGAGGATG